ATACAGTAATAATGACGGATAACAACAATGATTTACAGAACCTAATGCAACGCCTTAATGAACGCTGTCATGAGTACGGACTAAAGATAAATTTAAAGAAAACTAAATGCATGATCATGACGACTAAATCTGCACATGCAAATATCCAATTGACTATTGAAGATACTGCAATTGAGAGTGTTAATAACTATAAATACTTGGGATACATGGGATGGGAACATGGATAACATCAGATGTAGACCAAACCAAAGAAATTAAGACACGTATTGAAATAGTACATGCATCATTTATTAAACTTAGAAAGTTTCTTTGTTGTCGGGATATCAGCTTAGAACTACGCCTGAGAATGCTTCGATGTTACATGTTTTCTACTCTTCTTTATGGCTTGGAAGCGTGGACACTAAAATAAGTCCATCTGAATAAGTTGGCCGCCTTTGAATTTTGGTGTTACAGAAGAATCCTACGAATATCATGGATTCAAAGAATGTCAAACGTGGAAGTAACTAGAAGGATAGTAAATGAGGCGGAAATAATATTAACTATCAAAAGACGAAAACTTGAGTACTTAGGACATGTGATGAGAGGGCAAAAATACGCATTATTACAACTTATTATGCAAGGCAAAATCCGAGGAAAGCGAAATGTGGGAAGACGAAGAATATTCTGGCTTAAGAACTTAAGGGAATGGATTGAATGCAGTAGTGCAGAAATTTTTAGAGCGGCAGTCAACAGAGTCCGCATAACCATGATGATTTCCAACCTTCGAATGAAGATGGAACTTAAAGAAGAAGAAGTTGAACTATCTTTACCTTTCAGAAACAAATTTTTGTAATATGTTTTATAAAGGACGGCCTCTAATCTAGTAATTTCCTAATGATACTGGAAAATCAAGATCTACATGGATAAAAAAAGTAACAAAAGATCTCAATAGTGTGGATGTACGGTAATAGAGAAAAAAACTAGAGATAGAAAACTGTGGTGAAAAATATCTAAGAAAATTAAACAAAGAAAATAAGTACTGATCTACCTCATAATATAGATATATAGAGCTTAAGAGGTAACCCCTGTGGGAGTATTTAGCCACTTTATAATATGCTACACAGGACAAGACTTGGAACAATCTTTTAACTATGCTCACATATAATTTTTTACAATAAAATATGCATATGAAGTTTAATTATTATACCTTTACGAACAAAACCAAACGTTTTTTTAAATATATTTACATACAGTTTTCTGTATTTTTATTGTTATAAATGAATGAATAATGTTAAAGTAAGTAAAAAAGCTTGTAATTATTATCATAGCGTTACTGCGTTTTAATTTTTTGAATGTGGCATTCACTGTTATAGGTTTTGCCCAGATGAAGCGACTTGATTGGCACATTTTTGTTTTTCAAAAATCCAAAATTTAACTGCTTTTATTCGTTCATGGTGTTTGGTACATCTTTGTTTAATTGTTTCATTAGTAAATAGTAACTGCACGTTTTGGTGAATTGTAAGATTCTGTATTTTGTGCGGTATTCTACGAAAAAACGGCAAAGTTAGATTTGCTACATTTTGATCACTCCTCGTATAATTTCAGTACTTTAATTCAATCCATATATTTTACATGCATAAATAATTTCTTTTTATTTTAACACCTGATGGCTTACGGCCATTCCTAGACGTAAGCCTGTTCTTGGCATTTCCATTTTAAATTGTCTATTGCTCTGGTGCCATTGCTTTCCAGTCTTTTTTTTGCATTGTCCAATTATCTTTTTGGATGTCAACCTATACCTCCCTTATGTAATAAATGGTCTACTGTACGATGCTTTTAGTCCATCTAGTATTATCTAGTCTGAGCCAAGACCACTTCAATGAAACAGAGCGCTGTATCACGCTATCTACTTTTGTTCTTGTATGTTTTTTTTTTCATTGCATCTGCTAATTTTGATAGTATTAACTAATCTATTGAAGTTTTGTATGCAGTTTTTATATCTAAATTTCTAGCTATCCAAAACAATTTTAGAAAGGATCAAAAAGTTCTGCTGAATTTTTGTGAGTTGCTATAATAACAGTATCGTCTCTAACCGTTTGACGAGAATATCTAAAATCATCATAATCATTATCAGCCCATTTGAAGTTTAGTGCAGGATATAGGCCTTTCCCATTTGGATCCAGAATGCATGGAGTAGTCTGCACCAGGGTGCAGAATAGAGCGTCTCTTGTGCAGTATGTGTCCAATTTTTCGTCATCTTCCGGAGATCATCTTGCCATTGTGTAGGTGGTTTTTCTCTGTTTCATTTATCTGTTCTTGCTCTTCATTCGGTTAACTTGTCAGTCCCTTTACCATCCTTCATGCATGTTACGTGGCCAGCCTATCTCCATTTCAATAAGTAAGCTATCTGCAGAACATCTGTAACTTTGGTTCTGTTTTGTAGGTCTTCGCTTGTGATCTTGTCTTTTATTGTTACTCCTTAACGCTCTTATGCATATTTCTTTGCGCTATTATTAGATTTGAATCATTGTCTCGGAAACACTGTCCCTAGCAAAAAACAAAAAAAAACAATACTGCATGTCTAAAATAGGAACATACATAATAAGATCGGCCTCATTATATTATAAGAACTAACCAAACGGACATGCTTTTTTTATTTCGTTTTACAACTTTTTTATCTAATGTTTTTTAAGCTTCTCTTAAAAATTTTTTAGATACTTAATAAATACTAAAGTACTTGTATATTGTCTAAAACATTTTAAAGAATTCTCGACTGTGAATCATTTATCGTATTTTTAATTTATTTAATTGGTAATTACAAAAATTATTTTTATAAATATTTTGTTACTAATATACCACCACCGATCTCGATGTCCACCAATGTGGTTAAGTATTTCTTGCATGTTTGCTCAATATACATTTTGAATTATTTAGTTTGTATCAATTTAGTGCTGTATATTACGATGGAGGTTGAATTTACCTTTAAAAAAATCTGATCTAGCTAGAATCACTGTAAATTTAGTTATAGCTGTTACGCATGTTTCGCCAGTGGGATGATATTTAATAAATTTCAGCGTTGGCGACATTTTAAGGATTTTTCTATCGAAGTCTTCATACTAAATCTCATCAAAGGTCTGACTAACATCCAAGAATATAGAATGCAATATTTATTATACTGTGCTCTAATTTGTATAAGTCTAGTATTCTTTGCAGTTGTTGAATAATTTCTTCTGCTTATTGCGCCGTCTCCTTTCAAAGGCTGGTCATCCAAATGGCTATTGTAGCTGTTGAAATTGCTACATTTCTGAGAATGAACGGTTAAACCATAAAAAATTTAGTAAACTTGGCTATTGTAGCTTTTGAAACTGGTACACGAACGATTTCTGCCAATGGACGGTCAAATCGTAAATAAATTAGTAAACTTATTTTTAGTCAAATTGATTTTATTATTTATTTGATATATTCGACATCTAAACACAAACAGTTTTCGTATTAGCCCATAGAAAACGGAGGAAAATGGCAGAAGTCGCATCATCTCGACAATATCATAGTGCCGCATCTCATGGTAGTTTAGTAAATATTATTGAATTAATTTTATTATATCGTCTTAAAATAAACTGAGAAAATATGTAAATACAATAAATATTTTATAATATAATTTGGTTGAATATAAAAATTTTAGTATTCGTTAACAGTCTTTGATCATGAATATATTTATTCGATTTATTTCTATTTTAAGATGTAAATAATACCTTTATACTTTTATTATTATTGCGCTCACGTGCAAAATTTTCTATTTTGTCACCATCTATCATAATTTGTCTTTATTATTTTTTGTTATTGCTTTGAAGTGTAATATATTTTAAGAGTTGCAAAACTGAAATATAAATTAAAACTTCCAAACTTCAAATTAGCTATTTAGAACATTTCCAGTCTACTTTTCATAAGCCTGCATTTCAAATAGCTCTTAATTCTTTCTTGTTGCCTCGTAGATAATTTTTTCCTGAATATTTTTCGTGTATATATTGATCCCATGAAAACCGTGCATGTTAACTATTGCAGATATATATATATATATATATATATATATATATATATATATATATATATCTTGATTACATTGCAACTGTTTCAGGGTACCAAACTCTGGCCTGGCTTGCTCAATTCTGCAAATATTTTATATTCTGAATCTATTTGCTTGTCCTAAATCTATTTTTATTGGAATGAGTCAGAATTTTCGAATTTTATTCGAAATCGAAACGTCAAAATAAACTTATTTTTAAGTGAAAGTGCGGCTTATTTGTAGTGGACACACTGTTACCCATTTATTCTACTTTCCAGGTACTTATATTTCTGAATATTTTTAGATAATCATAATAAGTCAGTGGTAGTACCTGTTTTTAGTCCAGTTAAGACCAGTTATGTCTTTCAACGTTTCTTCTTAAAACATACAATTTTGATAAATTTATTCTTAGATCGTAAAAATGGATTACCAATAATACGGAAATCCAGTTCATATTAATATTTCGTTCTTCTTCTTTAGGCTTGTTTAAAAATTTATTTCATTCGAGAATAAAACTTTTAAATAATATCGTTTCTGAATTTATTCCTATGTCATAATCGTTACATTTAAAGTGATTTATAATTGCTTAAGAAGTTCTATTTCTTCTTCAAGGTTTTTACCGCAGAATTTTATGCATTTCTATAAGTTATTTAGTCCTTTTTCCAGAGCTGTTGATTCTGGTTAAAAACATTTTTTTCTGTAAAATATTTCGATCTTCTAAACAAACAATTTTAACAGTAGGCGTTTATCGTGCTTCTATTATATTGTATTCTTCTCTCTTTTAAATAATCAAGACTTTTTCATTAATTTCTAATAATATTGTGTCCAATTATTTGTAACTGATTGTAAAATATACTTTTCTCAGTGTATATATGTTATATTTTGATGGGAACATGATTCTGATATAATCTCTCCAAACCACAGCGGTGAGGAATGCGCAATTAGTAAAGGAACTTACCGAACGGCCTAACGGGGTGTTTGTCCCACAGGAACGTCCTCTTGACTGGGGAAAGATATGAGTCGCGGAGATAGAATGGGGATTTGCCCCATGGGTTGTGCACAGAAGCGGGTTTGAGAGGAGAGTCCCACCAGAAGGGATCACGAGATACAGCGGATACAGGGAGATTTGGAGAAGGGTTTAAAATGTCGTCGAATAGTTTCTTACTTGGATACAACCCTCCACGGGTGTAAATTGGTTGGCCAGCATAGTTAAAAGCTACTTCAGATGGACGAGGAGCAAACTCACCAGGCTGTAAAAGAAAAAACAATATGAATTAAGAGATGTTGTAACTTAGAATTTTATTAAGATTATAAGAATGGTTGATATTTAGTACATACTATTTGGTAAAAACTGTTGGATAATTTAATGAGATTCGTCGTTTGTTCTTTGCATATGGATAACTTTATTTACGAAATATTTCTTATATTATCTGTTCTAGTCACAGAATACTTATAATAATATAGTGTTATTTAAATTATGTATAATTATTATATAAACAATTGTATTGTTTAAATTTAAAATTGATGTTGGGGCTTTGAAGTAATATTTTTTTTTTCAAAAAAATATAACGACTAGCCGTACTTTAAGTGTTCGACTTGATGACACATATTTATAAACTAAAATAATATCCTATCCCAAGTCTATTTCGGCTACAATTTGACATTAAAAAAGAATTCAAGACTGCTTGAATGTGGTAATGCATCATTTCACGAAGTTATTTTTCGATATAACTTCGATATTTTTCGGAGTAAAAAGTCCATCATAAGTGCCTTTACCATGGTGTTTATGAGTCAATCCACTAAAATCAATATTTTGGTAAAAACCTTTAAAATGGTACAAAATTTGTTGTTTATTACATTTTTGTTAAACATTTTGTGTGATGTTAAAGTTTTTAACCGATATCCTGCATGGCAACATAAAACTTTCAATTTTGGGGGTTGATGACCCTGAGACGATGATGAACCTGAGAAGATGTCTCTGTAGGTACTCTATCCTTGTACTCTTTCCTTGTGAATTAAAAAAAAATCTTTTTTGTATTCTATAGTTAGATTAAAAAATAAGACTTTTCGAAATTGGAGCATAAAAAAATTTAAACTTAGTTCTCACTTCTCCTGTACAACAATGGCTGTGAATATATCACAATTATAAGTCAGCCATTTGCGTTAACTGCTGGTATAAGTTTTTTAATCAACGCCAATTTTACATATTCTTAATATATTAATATAATAATATAATTTCCAGGCCTTAAAAATATTTGTTTATTAAATTTGGAAATTATTTGTAGACTTAAGTTTAACAAGTTTTAACTTTTAAGTTTGTAGAAATAGAATAGATCGACACAGGAATTGTTTTTCTCAAGATAAACTTTAAATTTACCAATAATTCATAATTATGTTAGAACATGTATATCATTTGATCGAGTTTGTTTTTGGTTATTTTGATTTTATATTAGAGCAATCATTAACTATTTTGTCTAATTTCTTATAGTACATTAGATGCTGTTTGCATTGTTAAACAAAAAACCTAGACATATTAAAATTTTTCTTTTTTGTTTTAAGATTATGGGATATTTGAAAATATATACACATTGGAGCGAAATAAAAAATATTAAAATGATATTTGATTTATCCAGTTTTCTGCGATCATCTGAAAGGTGTACATAGTATTTTTATTAAATTTGTACTTTTATTTAAAAGGTTTTACAAATGGTTTAACTAAATAAAACAGCTTACAATGAATTAACTAAATCCATTTTATTTACTATAGCTTGCAGTCTTCGACGCCACTGTGTTTAGTTTTGTACTGTGATTATTAAAAATGGTTTACCGATCAATTGAACATAAAATGATAATTAAAGTCTTTAAGTAAAAAAAAAATATGACGCCAAAAGAATTGTAAAAATGTTCCCAGAATTAAACTGGATCACGGTCACTTCTTAAATCATTTGAAAGAAAATGATGGTTCATTAAAATGAAATCAGGGCAGGGAAGAACATACAGTTACAGAAGTCATAAAATATTGCCATGGTAAGGGAAATTCTTGACAATAGAAGAAGAGGAATATTAAAAATGACAAACAATAAACATACAATAAGGCAGCCTTAAATAAACGATCATTCATAAAAATTTATTGTTAAACAATATCTATAGATACAAGCAGTAAAAGATTTGAAGGAAGCAGACAGTTATTAAAGAGATTAGGAAGGATTTCATTGCGTAAAGCAAAAAACCCCCAAAATAATACGGTTTACTCTGATGCTCAAAAAAATATGACATACCGCTAGATTTACTTTTAATTCATTTAAGTCATTATTCTGCCTTAGTGATGTGATAATTGTCACAAGAATATATAATAGATGTGAAAGAGACATTAGCCCCACACAGTTCGGTTTCAGACAAGGATTTGGCACAAGAGAAGCACTTTATAGCCTAACTGTTCTATTTCAGAAATGCAGAGATCAGAAAAAGATGTCTTTATATGCTTTATGGATTACCAAAAAGCGTTTGTATTTCACCATATTTCTCAATCGAAAAAGGTGTACGACAAGGTTGTGTTCTGTAACCCTTCCTTTTTAAACTTTACTCTGAAACAATTTTCGATAGAGCCTTAAGTGACACTGAAGACGGTATCAAAATCAACGGACAGACTATTAGTAATCTTCGCGATGCTGATGATACAGTCATAATAGCTGATAGACAAGAAGCGCTACAACGACTAATAGATAAAATAAACACTGAAGGAGAACGACTGGGCTTGAAGATTAATATAGACAAGACGAAGGTTATGGTGGTTAGTAGAACACGAAATATGCTATTAAATATAAGAGTTAACAATAAGAACATTCAAAAGGTCCCCAAGTTTATATTTTTTGGTAGTTGGATAACTGAAGATTTAGATCCAAACATAGAGATATGTAGCAGGATTGAGCAAGCTAGAATAGCATTTACTAATATGAGAACCTTGCTAAGCAACAGCAGCCTTAACTTAACGCTTCAACATTATTTGTAAAATATTAAATTTACTCTATACTGCTATGTGGTGTAGAAACCTACACCATAAAGGCCAATGTGATGAACCAATTGGAGGCCTTTGAAATGTGGGTATTTAGAAGACTATTTACAATTCCCTGGACAGATCACACAACAAATGTCGAAGTACTAAATCGAATGGGCAGATAACGAGAATTGCTGTCAATAATAAAAAGAAGAAAAACTGATTATCGGGGTCATATATTTTTAAATTCTAAGTACCAATTCTTAAAGCTTAATATGGAAGGGAAGATAGAATGGGGCATCTAAAGAAAGAAATACTCATGGTTTAAAAACATAAAGGATTGGACAAACCTCGATGCCCATGCACTCTTTAGAGCCACACAAGATCGAGAAGAGTATGCCAGAATTGTCGCCAACATCCACTAATTTAATAGGGCACCATGAGAAGAAAAAGAAGTGATGGGTTTACTAGCATTATCAATGTTGGGAAAAACAGAAATTTATTTTGTAGAAGCTGGTGTTAAAATAAATTCTGAAATTTATCAGAGATATTTTAAGCAAGATGCTTGATGATATTGAAAATATTAGCCACGACTTCATCCTTCAACAGTATGTTGTGCAATCCCATACTTCCAGAAGTACGATAACAAATTTGTAAGAACAAGTTACAGATTTTATCGAACCTAACAAGTTGACTCCAAATAGCCCTGATCTTAACTCGATTGATTACAATATTTGGAGTACATTAGAAGCCATAGTTTACGAAAATTCTATTTTCAACACTACTGATAAATTAAAACATCAGATAGTTTTTTGTTGGAACCAATTCTACTAAGAAATTATTAACCGATCTTTTATGTGCGATCAAATAACCATGTGGGATACATCCATAATGAATTTAGTTAATACATTTGAAGTTGTGTAAGTTCAAATTGTTTAATAAAAATAAATTTAATAAAAATACTATACAGGGTGTTTCAAAAAGATATGTCATAAATTATATCACGCATTCCGTGGACAAAAATAAATTGATTGAATCCAACTTACCTTAGTACAAAAGTGTACACAAAGAAAATTACAGCCCTTTGAAGTTACAAAATAAAAATTGTTTTTTTTGCATTATCTTCTAAACTACTTGACATTTTGTAATAAAAATGGACACGTTACTTTCTTGTTCTGAAAGCATTTTTCTGAAAGCAAAATCAAATGAATTTTGTGGCATCATTAGTTTAACATTATTTTTTAAAATGTTTTGCCTCTTATCACTTTTTTCAAAAAACACTTTTTATTGAGTAACAGCCCTTTTCATTAACCTTTCAAAAATTACGTGAAACTAAATAAATGGCTTAAATGAATTAACAAGTACAAAAACTGTCTACAAACTCTATAAATATATTACAATAAATGTTCAAAATGACCCCCATTTTCTTCAATACACATTCGGTTCGTTTTAATAAGGTAAAGCGAATACGCTAAAAAAACATATTTTTCTGACAAAATTGATTGGCAGCTTCAATTATTCTAACCCTCAATTGTTGTTTGTCCGTCCTCTATTGTTCTCTTTCATAAACCCCCAAAAGCAAAAGTCCATGGGGTTAAGACCTGGACTCTTGGGTGGCCAAGAAATAGGTGCGTCGTGATCCCTTCCAATCCACCGATCAAAATACTGCCTGCAACAGTATTCCCGGACTTCATTACTATAATGCGGTGGAGCGCCATCTTGTAGAAACCACATATTTTGCCTTATTACAATATACACTTCTTCCAAATACTCTTGTAAATCGTTTGTAAAGAACTGCAAATAATTATCACCATTTAAATTGTTGAGAAGAAATACTGGGCCTATTAGATTGTTATTCACAATTCCTGCCCAAACATTAACTTTGAAAGTCCTTTGGCGATGAGTCGTTTTTTTGGCGTGAGGATTTTCGTCGGCCCAAATGTGCTCGTTATGATGATTTGTTATTCCATTTCTACTGAAGGTAGCCTCGTCGGTAAACAAAATATTTGTAATAAAGTTAACATTTCGAGTGTTTTCCATTAAAAATATGGCAAAATTAAATCCTTTTAGGATAATCTTCAACCAATAACTTTTGAACCGTTGTTAAGTGATAGGGTTTAAGCAGCTAATCCTTTAAACGCCTCCAAACCCTTACGCGAGGAACATTTAGTTGAGCAGCTATTACCCTTGTACTTGTTCCAGGAACTTCTTCAATGATTTCTAAAATGTCTTTATCAGTTGCATTCATTATTGGACGACCACTATTGCCAGCAACTTGCGGTTGGAATGTAAACGTTTCCCGTAAACAACAATCAATGGTCAGATATAATCGTCTATCGGGTGTATTTTGATTGTGGTATTTTACTGCATAACGCCTTGCGGCTGCTCCACTATTTCCTAGAAATTCACCTACAATATTCCCGATAGTTTGTTGAAATCATAATTTAATCTGATCCAACTTACCCAAAGTTAAATGCATATCTGCCATTTCCTGAAATTTGTAGATCATTGTAATATCAAAATTTGTAATATTAATCATATTCACACAATACATGATAGCTTCAAATTTTTGACTATAATTGATGTAACTGTTGGTAATTATTGTATCCGTAGAAACTAATTGTAATTTTATGGCCAACTAGGAAAAAACTAGCTTTTCGAAAAAGTGATAGGAGACAAAAAGTTTTAAAAATAATGTGTTAAACTAATGATGCCACAAACTTCATTTTATTTGAACTTACTCAAAAGTTTGAGGGGGTTTAGGACTGCACACCCCCTTGAAAATTTTTCTGTGCACTTAGATTTTGTTGTTTCTGTTGTAAGAAAAATGCTTTCAGGACAAGAAAGTAACGTGTCCATTTTTATTACAAAACGTCAAGTAGTTTAGGAGATAATGCAAAAAAACAATTCTTATTTTGTAACTTCAAAGGGCTGTAACTTTTTTTGTATACACTTTTGTACTAAGGTAAGTTGGATTCAATCAATTTATTTTTGTCCCTGGAATGCGTGATTTAATTTATGACCTACCTTTTGGAAACACCCTGTATACACCATTTCAGAATGTCATTTATTTTGCTCCAAAGGCTTAAACGTTTTTAATACGATTTTAAGGATAGTTTTTTCAGATACTTATTAATAGTAATACTAAATTTTGATTTTAAATATTAACAGGGTGACTCTTGCACCGACCTTGAAAGTAAGCCTTTATAATAACGACCCTTACGTAGAATCCGTTAAGTTTTTTAGTTAGTCTTGTAAATTTTAATTTAAATATGCGCTACCAATATAAGGTCAAAATGGGTTCGAAATAAATTTGGCCCACCGTGTAGATCTGAAACACTACTAGGGTTTCTGTTGAGACTGAGCATTGAATTCTCCCATATAATTTTTAAATCTTATTGATTTTCAATGTTCCTCCTCATTACATTATGAAGTAAGAACAATTGCTTAACAATATTTACTTCCAGTTTTTATATTTTCGAGTGGAAATATTTTTAGTCAATTTTCCCTTGATTTTCTTTATTTGGAATGGTATAGTTAATAGAAACTTAACAAAATAATATTTCATAACAAAATTATTTCAGAATAAAAATGTAAACTATTAAAAGCGACTGAAATGTAATATTGGCAAAATGCAAGTAAAATTTAGATACTGTATGAAAGCAAGAAAATTTTAACATTGACCCTGGAGACTAGAATATAAAACTAAGTATAAGCTCTGATATCACTTTTATATCACTAATAATATCTAAATTAATTGTTATAAACTACAGACCTAATTATATAATTATATAAAAGATATTCTTACCTTGATTGGAGTTGGTCTTTTGCTTCCAACTGAAGGCCATAAAGAGGGATAGAGTTTGTCGAGCTCGGCAAGACGATCCAAATGATCCAACCAGGAGCGGTGTGGATCGTATTTTTCAGCAGCTGGAGAAGGTCTCTTACTGTAAACCAAGTACAATGGATAGCGAGAGAATGGGTAACTTGTGTGGAAAATGCTGCTGGGCCATTGTGATGGCTCGCGTCCTTTTACACGGTCAATGTGGTTTTTCCATGCCTCGTCAGCGTCGAGTGGTTTTGGTTTTGCGACGTGGTATGCTAATTAACATTAAAATAAGAGTAAAGGTGAATTATCATTGCATGTTCTTACGTTGGATACCCAAGTAAACTACAAAAGAGGACTGAATTTTTTCTACTATAAGTTTAAGACCTTTGTGAAATAGATATACTTCTAGTTTTACTCATCGTAAATTGTGTTGCGAGTTTAAATTTATAGTGGTGTGAGAAATAAAATTAATGTTTCTTGGGTTTGAGTTCAATAAAGATATGCTACATGTGGAACTAAATTTTATTTTCCATTGCAATCAATCAACGTTTCGGCAGGAAAATATTGATTGCAATGGAAAATAAAATGAAGTTCCACATGTAACATATCTTTATTGAACCTAAACACAAGAAACATTAATTTTATATTAAATATAATACGGTTCAAGAAACTCAAAACTACAATATATATATATATATATATATATATATATATATATATATATATTGTAGTTTTACTACCCGAAAGTTACCCTCCAAAGAATTATATATATATATATATATATATATATATATATACATATATATATATATATATATATATATATATATATATAAGACTAAGAAAAAAGAAGTACTTGTGACTCGTTTGGAAAAAATATAACACTGTTTTTGATGGGTTGGAGTCAATAAAAGGGGCTATTTGTTGACTATTTTTTACTCCAGCTTTCAATTGTGATTACAATTTTTATCAAGAGCTTCTAAAAAATACAAAATATCTAAAAAAATCTTCTAAAAAAATCAAAAATAAATTTTTTTTTTATTTCTAGTTCAACTTTGTAAGACATTTTGTATTTTTTAGAAGCTCTTGATAAAAATTGTAATCACAATTGAAAGCTCGACTAAAAAATAGTCAACAAATAGCCCCTTTTATTGACTCCAACCCATCAAAAACAGTGTTATATTTTTTCCAAACGAGTCACAAGTACTTCTTTTTTCTTAGTCTTATATATATATATATATATATATATATATATATATATATATATATATATATATATATATATATATTAAGGTTGCAGTCATTACTTGTAACGGGCAGGCTAATTTATAAATTCAATTTATGTCAAAAAGACACTGGTCTACGTTTTATCATAGTCTACGTTGTTGATAACTAGTTTTCGATTGTTTTATGTGATATTTTAATAGTTTTATGTTTCTTTTTTTATAGATTTTATTTCTTCAGTAGATTGAGAATAATGGATGAATATTAATAAATAGATTTTTTTTAATTTGACAAAACTGACATAATGATCACTTTTTGAACATGATTTTATCATTACATATTTTTTAGTAGGTCAATATAGTGTCTCAGTTTCAGATTGCGAGTTCGCCCCCTTCCATACTTGCCTATCTGATAGATGAGAAGCGTTGATAATATGGATATTAAATCTAATTTTTCAGGCTCTTTAATTCAGAATAAAGTAGCAATTAATAGTACCACATTTACCAACAATTATTAAAGTTTGCAAAATTTAAACAGTGATATTTTATCTACAGTATATCTAACTGTCTATATCTTACTATGGTATCTTACATATATTTTCTTTCTCGAATGAAATCAGTCGATGTCGAACCTTATTCATGATAACTCAAGTGTGCTCAATGTATTCTTCTTCTTCCAGTTCCGCTCCTATCGAAGATTGGAAATCACTCTGGCAATTTTAATTTTGTTGGTTACGCGCTTGCTTTTGTTTTGCGATTCATCCATGATATTTCCAGAATACGTCTGTAACACCACATTTCGAATGCTTCCAGGTTTTTCATGTTGTATTGTAGGTTTTAATTGGATTCGTTGTCCAGGTCTCAACCTCATATAAATGTGTGAAAAAAATATAACATCCAAGCATTCTTATCCGGATCCATTTTTAATTCTGTTAAAAGTTGACCGTGCGATTTTAATCTATGCAAAATGTATACAGATATGAAATCTGAGTCATTGGAGATTTTTAATAGTTAATCACAGAGACCATTTGGAATAGTCTGAGGTTGAGATATTTGAGAATAGCTCAATAAGAATTTTTAATTTTCTCAATTTTCTTAATCAGTAAATTTTATTGCATTGTAAACCAAATGTTATTATTTTTCCTCGAAGGTTAGACAGAGTTATCTCTGCATGGAAGCTGGAACTGGTTTTGAAATCAGTTCAGTCTTTATATAGTATTTTGAAATTTTGAACTACTATTTACTTTTTTATTTTCTTTTTAATATATGTTCTTTCTCTTACCTTCTATGTGTTCTTTTATCTATTCTTTCCATCATACCTTCGTTCTGCCGTTAAATGATTTAACTTTTGCTTTTCAGTCTGTTATCGCTGTTAACGATTTGACTTTTATCTTTTCAATATATGCCCAAACCTACTGTTTTCCATTTTTCTAAGTAAGTCTTCGTGTTTCATCCAGTCTTATATTTTACGATTCACTTAGGATATATTTTTGTTACTTCTGCAAACTTACGCAACGCTAGCAGTTTTTGAAAGGTCAACATTACTGTTTCTAGCAGGTGTTTAGTTCGGTAAAAAGTAATATAACCTTCTTTTACATGATTATGTAGATACAGACCATAAACACATAAACTTAACAATGAAGAAGCTAATGTTTCAGGAAAATTTTGAGGTATTGTTGAGTTTTTTAAATATCCCAGATATATGAATGTCACTAGAGTTCTACTATAGTTCTGATTTACCTACAGGCAAGTCTAATCTAAATTTAAATTTATTAATAACTAGAGAACCCAAAATCTACTACGGCCAAAGCTAGAAAGTGATCCCTTACATTTGACCCTGATTGTGGAACCAACGATTTATTTTAATATTTACCATTTAATGTTTACCATTAATATAAAATTTACTTGTTATTAGTTTATACTTTACCTTATATTGCCAAATAAATAAGAACTTTACTTTGTAAAACTTTAATACGCCCGTCAATAATAAGTGTAAATCATTATTATATCCTTCTATTATTAGTAAGAATACCATATTAAATAGTAAGTTAGTTTTTAAACTGGGTATGTGAAATTAAGAGTTTTCTCAGTCCTACTTCTGTAAGTTATAGTGAAGAGTTAGTGTTACAGGATTAGTTGGTAGCTGTGTTAGAAGCAGATATACTCGTATACCTACATGTTAAGAAGCATTTTATAAACACGTCAAATAAAAACAGTAGTTATTATAGCATGATATTTTTGAATGGTTTAGACTTTTTTATCTTTTTATTTAACTGTATAGGTTTTAAATAAGTAGTGAATATTTTAGAACTCTAAAGATTATTTCTTGTTGATAATTATATAGGTATAAGAAAGTATTGGTGTCAGATTCATAAATCTATAAATCATTTACCATTTAATTTTCTGTTCTGATTAGCTTAAATTTTTCTTAATTATAAAGCTCTTTTTGAAGCATTTTAACGATGAGTTTCAATTTCCATTTTAGAAAATCATTACATTAACAAATTATTAAATAGATATTATGTTTATATCGCATTAAGCCGCAGTTGATTGTAATAATAATAACATTTTTAACTGCGTTCTTAACTGTATCTAGATCTAGGATTCAACACACTTGTTTGTTCATTTTTTCTCTTAATCAATCACTGGGGGGAAATGGTGATCTTAACCACCTTTTTCTTTCATTTTTTGGTTTTTACTGACAAGTTTGTCACCCAAATTTATCATATTCTTTAAATGTACCGCCCTATTGCACTAGAGGTTGGTAATTCGCCTTGCTGTTCTGTCATATTTTGACCTCAAGGCCACTGTATTTTCTCGTTGTTGGCGTGGGTTTTATACATGTTGCTTCCATTTATCTGCAGCAGCTAAGAAACTAAAGGGTGGTAACTTCATTATACTTTTAAATATTACTATATTTCAATATTATTAATTTAATAATGTTACCTAAACTTAAAATTAAATTTGACTAATAATCTACTATTGGAAGTGTATCTTATGATCTTTTTAGTTCTCTGCATATTAATTTTAAATGTACAATTACCGCATGGTCTTTTGCTGTGGTAAGTTTGTTAATTTTGTAAACTGTATTTAGTTTCAATTAATTGTTTATACAACATAATCTTGTAATGTCCATTGTCGTAAGTTTCTTTACATATTTAATATCATTGACTGCTACATGTCTTTTTGAGGTAACACACTTGTAATAACTTCTCTATGGATGTTTGGTTTTTCATATTGTCTTTTTTGGATGAACTGATGATGCTTTCTGATTAGAAAGCGAAACACCTTCAATAAATAGATGAAGTAGACGCCTTCGTTGTCTTTTTTTCTCTCCACGTTTTGACCGAAAAACCCACCACTCTTCGAGTGATCTTTAATTTATATATATATATATATATATATATATATATATATATATATATATATATAAAATATATATATATATATATATATATATATATATATATTCAGGGATTAACAGTATTCACTGCCTTCCCTCGCTCAACCGTTTCTGTCTCTCTCTGTTGTCCCATTCTCCATCATTTAGGCATCTTTTACTCATAGCGTCGTCTACTTTGTTCCTCCAGGATCTTCAGGGTCGTCCTCTTTTCCTCCTTCCTATGGGGCTCCATTCGGTTACTCTCTTTATCCATCTGCTGTCGCTAGTTCTACTTACATGTCCATACCACTTTAGTCTTTTTTATTCTATATATGTTAGTATGTCTGTTTCTATTGATGTTCTTTGCTTTATTTCGTCATTCTCCTATCCATGTTTTCATTACTTCTGCTATCCTATTTTGTCTTCATATTTAGGTGTCTATCCCACCATACTAAGTTAAGTTGTCAGATTGCTATTCTTGTTTGTCCTAATCTTTGCGTAATTTCTTCTTCTGTTGTTGCCTTTTTCGTGATTATGGACCCGAAGTATTTGAATTTATCCTGTCCTTTGATTGTTACGTTGTCATTAATCTGTAGATCTTCTATGTCTTCTTCACTTGTAGATAGGTACTCTGTTTTCGTGAGGTTAATATCGCGGTTTATAGTTT